GGCACCGGCACCGGCACCGGCTTCGCTGCGGTTCTTACCCACCGCTTCCTTCCCCAAGGGTGGGGGGGTCCCCCGGCCGGGCAGACCAGGCTTCCCCCACCACGAAGGGTTAGCAGGGCGTCGCGGGGCGAAGCGTTAAGAATGACGGAGAACCTGTCCCCGGTGCTGGTGGTCAAACCGAAGCGGGCCAGGGTGGCACGACGGCCGGCGGCCCACCCCACCTATTCGGACATGATCACGGCGGCCATCCGCGCCGAGAAAAGCCGCGGCGGGTCCTCCCGCCAGTCCATCCAGAAGTACGTGAAGAGTCACTACAAGGTGGGCCAGCACGCCGATGTCCAGATCAAGCTCGCCATTCGGCGCCTGCTCGCCGCCGGCGTCCTCAAACAGACCAAAGGGGTCGGCGCCTCCGGTTCCTTCCGCCTGGCCAAGGCCGACAAGGCGAAGAAGTCCCCGGCCAGGAAGAAGAAGAAGGTGGCCAGGAAATCCACATCGCCCCGGAAAGCGGCTAGACCCAGGAAAGCCAAATCGCCGGCAAAGAAGCCCAAATCTGCTGCCAGGAAAGCCAGGAAGAAGTCGAGGTCCAGCCCGAAAAAAGCCAAGAAGCCAAAGACTGTTAAGGCCAAGCCGCTGAAGGCGGCCAAGCCCAAGAAGGCAAAGCGGTCGAAACCCAAAGCCAAGTCCAGCGCCCGGAAATCACCCAAGAAGAAGTGAGAAGTCTAGAGGCATTTCGGTACTCTCCCCGTTGGTTTCTGTAAATAGCTTTTTGCCTGTATTTTTACTCCTTTCTATTGCATTTTATAAAGAATTGATCGATTCCTGTCTGGAAATAGCTAAAACAAGGCAGTTAATGAAAGAAAAAAGGAACTTATTTCATATGGAGAGTTCCCATTTTTAAGAGTTACTGGTCTGGGTTTTTATTTCAATGTCTCAGAAACTTCTTGCCTGTGTCTGTTGTTTGATTTTTAACACTGGGCTGTGTTGTTGTGTGTCGGGCATGATGGTGACTCCATGCGTCTGCTGGGGCCGTACAGGATTTCAAATCCTGATCCTGCCCCAGCTCCCGGGGGGGGGTGGTGGTGGTGTTTGCTGGGGCTGGGCAAAGACTCTGCCTTGTGTTGGAGGGGAAGCACATAACAAGAGCCACAGCCTTCCCAGGAGGAGCAAAAGGGGCTCCCTGCTCCCCCCTCCACCCCCCTGGCACCCAACCACGGGGCTGAGGCGAGGTGTGCCGGGCTGCTGCTGGGTGTGAGGTCTGGCCGGTGCTGGAGATGATAACCACCCGGCCGGTGGGGCGATGGAGCTGCCCTGCCTGCGGAGCACCCTGGGTGCTGGGCAGGGATGGGACGGACGGAGGTGGAACGAGGCCAGGGGGTCTGTCCACGTTTGCTTTCAAGGAGTTGGAGGTGTCCGGCAAGCGGGAAGGGGTCGATCCCTGGGGAGAAAGGACAAACGTGGCTATGAACGGCTGGGTACGGCCCCGTTATCACCCCCGGGGGCTCTGGCTGTGGGCCCAGCGAGAGCTGACATGACCCCAGGGCCTGCCTGGCCCCTGCCAGACCCCCTCCCTGGGCAGGGCTTGGTCCTGATGGTCCGGGCTGGCAAGGAGCCTGGGGGCTGGCCCTACTGCTTTGCAGGGTCTGAGCCTCAGGCAGGAGGTGCCTAATGCCCCTTGGCTAGAGACGTCTAAACTCCTTGGATGTCAGGATCCCCAACCACCTGGGCCAGGAGCTCCAAAATCGCAGGGGCTGTGGGCACTCAGTCCCCTTGGGCTTGCTGTGCCTAAATCTCATGGGCCCGGGCTCTTCACCCACCCCGATGGTAGCTCCCAGATCTGTTGGCCTGATGATCCTAAATCTTGTGGGCAGATGGTGCCTCAGCCTTTTAGCCATCGAGGATCCCAAATTGCGTAGTTCAGCGTAATGAAATCCTTGGCCTGGAGGTACCTCATCCCTTTGGGCTCTTGTTCCTAAGACCCTTGGACCAAAGGCTCCCAGACCACCGAGGCTGAAGACCCTAAATCCCTTTCAAAAGCCTGGTGCCTAACCCTCCTGGACATGAGGGGTCTAAACCACTCTGGATCCCCCAGTCAGCTATAGTGGAGGGTGGAGACGCCTGACCCAGCTGGGCTCTTTGCATCTAAACCCGGCGGGTCCGTGGGTCACAAACCCCTTCGGCCAAAGGTGCTCAAATTCCTTGGGCTCAGCTACCTCACTTCCTTCAGCTGGTTAAGTCCTAAACCTCTCAGACCAAAGGATCCTTGCTCGCCTCAGCTGGATGCACCCAAACCCTACAGGCACTTGTTTCGTTACCCCCTGTATTGGGTCTGGCTGGGGTGGAGTTAATTGTCCCCATAGCAGCCCTCGTAGTGCTGTGCTCCGCATCAGTAGCTAGAAAGGTGTTGATAACACACCAGTGTTTTGGCTACCGCTGAGCAGTGCTGGCACAGCACCAAGGCTGTCTCTCCAACATTTTTGCCCCCCCTCAACGGCAGGCTGGGGCTGGGCAAGATCTTGGGAGGGGACATAGCCAGGACAGCTGACCTAAACTAACCAAACAGATATTTCATACCATATGATGCCAGCTCAGATATAAAAGCTAAGTAAAGGGAGATGGAAGGGGGGCATTTTTGTCTTCCGGAGCAACCACTACGTGTACTGAAGCCCTGCTTCCTGGGAAGTGGCTGGACATCGCCTGCTGATGGGAAGTAGAGAGTAACATCATTTGTTTTTCTTTGCCTTTGTGCTCGACCTTTGCTTTCACTTTATTAAACTGTCCTTATCTTGACCCACGAGCCTTTTGTTATATTTTCTCCCTCCCAGCTGAGGAAGGGGGAGCGATAGAGCGGCTTTGGTGGGCACCTGGTGCCCAGCCAGGGTCAACCCACCGCAGTCCTTTTTGGCGCCCATGAACCCACAACCCTGGGATTAAGAGTCCTGTGGCGGGCACCCGTAAACCACCTGACTGCGAGGATCCACCTCCGCCGAGGACCCCAAATCCCTGACGCAGGGTCACCTGGTCGATCCTCAAGGTCCGTGCTGGCCCCGTTCCTCCAAAATCCCTTCGGCCCTAATACACAACCCCCACCCTCGCCTGCTACAATTCCTAAATCCCACGGACGGGCTTCTCCCAGATCCAGGGATCCCAAATCACCTGGGTTTAGGGGTGCCTAAACCCCCTGGGACAGAGCCTCACCCCCAGCCAAAAAACCCAAACAAACCCCAGGGGCCCGAACGAGGGCTCCATTCATACTGCAGGCGGGGAGGGGCGGGGCTAGGGATGTGGCGCGGAGCGGTGGCGCGGGTGTTGCGGAGCGGCGGAACCGGGAATTCCCGGTTCGTTTCGGGAACGGCGGCGGTGGTTGAGTTCCGCCGACGTTTGGAGAGGGAATTAGAGGACATCCGAGGTGCCGGGACTTGGAAAAGCGAGCGGATTATCTCTTCCCGTCAAGGCCCTCATCTCCGTTTGGAGGGCGGTGGAACCGGTGGGTACGGGACGGTGGGGAGCGGGTTTTGGCTTTATCTCCCGGTACGAGGTCTGTGTTTCTCTCTTTCCTCCCTCAGGGATCCTCAATTTTTGCGCCAATAACTACCTGGGTCTCTCCAGCCACCCCGAGGTGATCCGTGCTGCCGTGGAGGCCCTCGAGAAATTCGGTGCTGGGCTCAGCTCCGTCCGGTTCATCTGCGGTACCCAGGTACCGGGCACCGGGGCAGCATCCCCTGCTCTGGGGTAGCCTTTCTCGGGGGTTTTGCTTCAGACTCCCATCTTGGCACTCGCGTTTGGGCACGGTCCTAAAGTACACGTGGCCAGGCAGAAAAAAAAAAAAAAAAAGCCTGCAGAATTCCTGCTGGCTAAAGCTCTGGAAATAGGCCAGCTAAAACCATTACCACCCTGGAGAGGGAAAAGAAATGAAATGCCGCTCTGGATTCACAAAGCAAATGTCATTTCCCTCCCCTTTAAGGGTCAAACTTACAACGAGCCTGCCTTGAAATGGCTCTGTCAAACCACCCCGGTTTATCCCCGCTGGAGCCCTTTCAGAGCCCCAGCTGGTTAAGTGCAAAGAAAACTCCGAGCTGCTCCCCTGTGGGTGGGGAGCTTGGAGTGTCCCTGCTGCGCTTTTGGCGTCCAAACCCATAATGGCATTTTAGGGCTGCGTTTGCAAAGACTTTCTGAACACAATTAACTTTTCCCACGCACACACACCTTTTCTGGATAAAACCCAGCTGCTTCCTGCCCTTGCAGTCAGTGTCTAACAGCAGCGGGCAAGTGAGAATTTGTGCTGCCTCACTAGTGATGCTCGCTCCTCTCTTCTCTTTAGAGCATACACAAGGACCTGGAGGAGAAGATCGCACGTTTCCATCAGCGGGAAGATGCCATTCTTTACGCCAGCTGCTTTGATGCCAACGCTGGTATCTTTGAGGTTTGTAGGGCTTTCCTTGTGTCGTGCGTGAAGGAGGGGGGGTGACGGCAATGTGCCCGCCGTGCCTTCCAGAATCTCTGATGTGAGCTCTGCGCCGCAGAGAAGATGGCAGTGACTGGTGGTGGAGAACCCTGAATTGGTGCCCCTGGACCAGGGGAGCCGTGCGGAGCTGTTTCATCAGCCCTCACCTCTCCCTTCCCCAGCCAGCTCCAGCTTTTGGGGAGGGCTCCCATTTCCTGGGAGGTCCGTACTCCCCCTTGAAGCGTAGACAGCGGGAAGGGGTGATCCCCCAGGCTTGCTAGGGAAGGAGAGGGAGGTTTTGAGCTCAGAAGCCACATGCAAGAGCCTGGCCTAAGGAAATTGGGTGATAATTTGGCTGGGAAGGGAAGTGGAAAGTTTAGCGGTGCCAGGAGAGACGTGGCAGCTGCAATCAAATGCAGCCTTGTCCTCTGCACCGAGAGATGCTGGAAGATCTCGGTGAGTCGACACCCCAGAGCGAAGGAAGATCCTTTCTGTTCGGTGCGGCCAGGCCCTGCTGACCCCGGAGGATGCGGTGCTGTCGGATGAGCTGAACCACGCCTCCATCATCGATGGGATCCGCCTGTGCAAGGCTAACAAGTACCGCTACAAACACATGGACATGCAGGACCTGGAGGCCAAGCTGCAGGACGCGCAGGTACGGAGGTCTGCTCCCAGCCCAACGCGAGGGTGCTCCCTCAGCTGTGCTCCCTGCTCAGTAACCAGCCCCGAAGGGTGAGCTCTGCCTTTTCCCGTGCAATAGGCATCGGTTTTGCCAATAGGCACAGGTAGGCATGGATGGGCAAGGTGGGGAAGCAGCTGGTTGCAATGCAAACGCCCCATCTCGGTTAGATATATCCACTCCGACTGTGTCCCGGTCTCCTTCGCCAGCCCCTCTCCTCAGGGTGACATCCTCACCCCTGGGGATGCCGCTTTCCCTCCTACAGAAACATCGTCTGCGGCTGGTGGCCACCGACGGTGCCTTCTCCATGGATGGTGACATCGCACCCCTGAGGGAGATCTGCCAGCTGGCCCAGAAGTACGATGCCCTGGTCTTCATTGACGAATGCCATGCCACAGGCTTCCTGGGACCCAGTGGCCGGTAAGGGGCTGGTTTACCCCTGTTTCTCCCCCCCACCAACCCCAATTACCTCTGAGGCAAGGCGAAAGGTGGTGATGGCTGATGCGTTTTTGTGGGGGGACTCCTGGAACCACTGTTTCTTGAATGTTTCGCACCCCACCTCTGCCTCAGCCCTGCCCTCCTGATGATATCTCCCTTTTGGGGCACCTGAGGGGATCGAAAGGAGATACTTTAGCACTGACCCATCCCAACACAACAGCCACTACTCTCTGTGTGAGGGATGGTGCGTGACCGCCTCATCTGCCTCTCCTGGCAAGCAGTCGGACTTTGTGATTTCCAAATCCTTCTCTCAGCTGTCGCTTTCAAATGCTTGGGTCTTGGGGGTTCTGTGGAGTTAGCTTGCACAGTTCGATAATTCCCTCAGCGCAGCTTTTTCCTCCATCCCCTGGAGATCCTCCAGGTGCTAAGCAGTGCACTTGCTGCAGGTGTTTGCCGAGAACAGACACTTCACGTGCTTGTTTCGTTCAGGCACGTGAGTGCCAAGCGCTCCGGTGCGTGGTCCTTCCTGCTTTTACTGGAAGGTGGAGACCCGTGTGAGGCAACACCTGTAGGAACGAGCAATGGGTCCCTCCTCAGATGGAGGGATAGTGCAGGAGATGACAAGAGGAGAAAGCCATCTCTGAAAAAGCCAAAAGTCGCTCTGTGAAGAGCTCCCTTCCAGCTCTCTGCTCTCTAGGCGAATCCCATGTGGGAAGCTGGCGAGTCCACATCAAGCTGTGAAATGCGTGAGAAGTGGGAGCTAAGCCCCCTGCCTTCCTTGGGGCATGGTAGCCATCCTATGGGTTGAGGTAGACCTTGTCACTCTGTCCCAGGGGGTTCTGTGGTCCCAGCAGCTGCAAAAACAACTGTTTGACTGCTCTGAGGTGTGTAAGTGCACAGTGGCTTGAGAAGGAGAGAATGGTTACCGAGTGCTTCATGAGTTATGCTAGTTTCAGCGTGAACTTGACACTGTTGTCTACAACGCTGTGTTTCAAGAGAGCCAACAGGGAGGCTGGGTGGCCGTGCCCCATCCTGCCTTTTTGGGCCAGAGGACGCAAAGCTGCCGAGTACGTTTGCCACGTCTGGTTGGTTCCACTAGCGTAGACCTTGACACGGGTGCTTTAGGCCTGGTGTGCTTTTAGGGCAGCACATCAGTGATGTGCAGAGCCCACCTCAGAGGACATCGGCTACTCGAGCCAGGCAACTGCTTTTCCCTGGTGTACGCTAATGGTGTGGTGTGTGTCAGAGGCATGCGCAAGACCGACATCGGTGGCTAGCACTCTGTTTGGACTATTAAACTTCTGTGCAGGAAGTTTGAGTATTCTGCCGTCTGTAAGGGATGAAGAACCCATGCTCTTACCTTGGGGGATCCCAGCTTAGCCTTTCTGCAGGAGAAGGGAAGGTCAACACTTGGGTTGAACTACAACAGGGGGGTGTTGGTATTCTTTCTTTACGAGAAGGGGGACACCAGAGACCTGGCTGGTGGCACTTTGTTTCCCTTGAGGCATCAGGTGTAGAGCAGCTTCCCTGGTGCATGCTGGCACAGCTGATAACGTGACATTCCTCTTTCTACAGGGGTACCGATGAGCTCCTAGGAGTGATGGACAAAGTCACCATCATCAACTCCACCCTGGGAAAAGCTCTTGGAGGAGCTGCAGGTGAAGGCATTTTCCTGTCCAAGGCCCTCCATGCCCTAAAGAGCTCCACAGCATCGCTCTGATGTTTCCTTCCTCTGCCTAATGATAGAGCAAGAAATGCATGTCGTCCTCTTCTACTGGTGGCATGAGGCTCAGTTTGGGACCCTGCTGCAGGGTCGAGGGAGGTCCTGCCGTGTGCTCCTTCCACTGTCATCTTCCCCATGCGTTTGCCTTTGGGGTCAAGGTGCAAACTCTTGGTAAAAGGCATCAGCTGTGATTTTTTTAGGCCTGGTTTGTACTGAAATTCCTGCTGTAGGTGACAGGTTGGCTTTATCGAGGGGCCCCCCTCTGACGAGATCTCCCTGGGGTGCCTTGTCCATTTCTCTTTCCTCCATCTGCAGGTGGGTACACAACTGGCCCCAAACCCCTCATCGATTTGCTCCGCCAGCGCTCCCGCCCGTACCTCTTCTCCAACAGCCTGCCTCCCGCCGTGGTGGGCTGCGCGTCCAAGGCCCTCGACCTCCTCATGGAGAGCAATGCCATTGCACAGTCCATGGCTGCCAAGACCCAGCGGTGAGGGGGCCATATTGGGGGGGGAACAGGGAGGGAGAAGTTCGTTAGGAATGAGTTGTCCACATGTGTTTATTCACGCTCCGTCCCCCCCATCCCCAGTGATAGCCGTCAAGGCAATTTGCAAGGTGCTCCGGGAAAACTGCATGTGCCTGTGTGTGTCGGGCAGATGTGTGGGCAGATGGGTCACATCTGGATGCTCTGCGTGCTGGGACACATCTGTCCCTCAAGCAGCTGCAGTCCCATGGAGCAGGAAATGGCAGAAGGTCGCTCCAAAAAGAGAGATCCCTTCCCTGCACAGGAGGTGCAAGTGGAGCAGAACTACACCCAGCCCTTGGTGGCCAGGGTGCCCGGGGGCAAGCGAGGCAGCAGTCCCCAAGGACAGGGGTGACGAGGTTTTACTCATCCTCTTTGTTCTCTTCACCAGGTTCAGAAGCAAGATGACAGCAGCCGGCTTCACCATCTCAGGGAAAGACCACCCCATCTGTCCCGTCATGCTTGGGGACGCTCGGCTGGCTGCAGTGATGGCTGAGGACATGCTGAACAGAGGTGAACCGGGGAGGGAGCTCTGGATGCAGACATGTGCCTCGAGGGAAGGGACAGCCAGTGGTGGTACCACCACCGTCCTTCCTCCAGAGGATGTTCCTGCATGAAATCTGTTATTTCTCTGCCCTCCAGCTGAGAATGTCCTCGTGGTCCCCCCAGACGCTGCTGGCTTCACCTCCTTTCTCTTTTGGGGGGGGTTGCCTTAGCCCTCTTGTCCTGCCATGCTGGAGTCCTTCCCCATCCCTGGCCCTAACCCTCATTTCCATGCTTGGGAGCAGATGCCGCTTGAAAACCCTGAAGCCTGAAAATGGTTCTTGGGAGGGAGGATCCAAAAGCTTTTCTATCACCCACTACCACCTCAGCCTCCCTCCCAGCCGGCTCTGACTCTCCGTGCATTTCCTCCCCAGGCATTTATGTCATTGGCTTCAGCTACCCCGTGGTCCCCAAGGGAAAGGCTCGGATCCGGGTCCAGATCTCGGCCGTTCACAGCGACGAGGACATCGACCGCTGCGTGGAAGCCTTCACCGAGGTGGGACGGAAACACGGAGCACTGCCTTGAGGGGCCAGCGAACTCCTCCTCCGGCACCATCCCTGCCCATGCCTGTGCCTGGGGGAAACAGCTTTAGCAGCACGCTGCTGGAAGCAGGACCGGTCCTCAAGGCATCGCAGCCTGCGGGAAGCTGTGGCCGTTCCAGCACACTGGCAGCAGTGCTGGCAACCAGCTCTTGTGTCATTAAAGGTGTCCTGCAGTGCAGTGGATATTTGTCCGGCTCTTGTTTTCTTATCCAGGAGCTGCAGCCCATCCTCATCCTCCCTCACTGTGACCAGACACTCTGCTGTGTCTTCCCTGAAGCCTCAGTCCGGGTGCTGAAGTGCTGCAGCTTCTGCTGTCTCCTACTGATGGAAACGTAGCGTTGCTGGTATGCCCAAGGTCACTTGCTCCCTCTGCGCTCTCCTGCGGGTCCAGCAGTGTCATCCCGGCAGATCTGCCCGCTGTAATTCCCCACCGAGGCAGGGAGGTTTCCCAAGCCCTTGGCAACCTGAACCACTGGCAGCTGCTTTGGGAAAGAGGACATGGGCCAGCCAAAACTGTGGTGCTCCTTTCTCCCCTTCTCACTCTCGGGTGTTAGGTGTGAGGCTTGCTTGGTCCTCAGGACCGGTTCTAAGGCTTTGCCCATCGCTGCAGTGCTCCCAAACCTGCCCTGGGAGCTGCATCTCTCCCCAGAGAGGCCATCGGGCAGCGGGCAAGCTGAGGGGGCAGAGGCCAACAGCATGGTGAGAGGGCCTGCGTCTGCCTGGGGCTGGGCTGGAGGGCAGAGCAGGTGCCAGAAACCTGCAATTTTCCTCCATCAGCTGCAATTTTTGCACAGCAGAGGACACACGGCAGGCTGGGATCTCTGGATTTGTTCCTCCAAGCCATGCTGGGATAGCGATTGAGCACTCAAGCAGGAGCGAGTGGGTCCTGGGCATCTCTCTGGATTGCTTTGTTTACATTGGTTTTGCTCCAGATGAGAAATCACGTGCGGCCTGCCGTCTGCCCATGTGCTGAACTGAATACCAGCTGCCTGCCACCTGGGACAGACTCCAGCCGAAATGAGGGTGTGCTGTGCTTGCGTGCCGGAGCACTGGGTCACATCAGCAAAGACCTGCTCCGAAAACGCTACCTGCTCTTAGGCAGTCAGGGAGCGAGCTGCAGGGTGATAACGTGTCTGACCTGAACTAGAGCAACTGCAGACGAATACAGAAGTTAATTCAGGGTTGCAGGGCTTTACGGGATGCAGAGGGCAGGGGAGGAACGCGTCTTCCATAGGGCTGCCGCCGGACCTTGTTAGAGCACCTGGTAGTGTAACTGTGTGCTGAATTTATTTAATTTTCCGTCTCCGCAGGGCCCTGAGCTCAGCCTGCTGATAAAGTATGATACGGAGTTCCCTCTGTGCGGCACCAGGCCCTCACAGTGCGGCGAACCCTTCCCCCTTATCAACGGGCAGTATTTTGAGAACAGGGAACGGAATGGGGAAATGGCAGGGGGTTGTGCCCAGGCCCCTCCTGCAACCTGGAAAAGATGAGGTTTCAGCCAGCTGGGCTCTGGGACAGGGGGTTTGAGTCCCTAAACTGAATCACCGCTGCTTCGAGCCCGATGCATGTGCACCCCCTTGCTCGCCCCTACTCGCACACCCATACCGTGCTCCCCCCCCACTCCCTCCCTGCCTCCGGCTGGTCCCCAGCCCAGGACTCCCCTTCTCCCCTGGGCTTCTGCAGGCAGCCCTCCTGATGGCTCTGCTCCTCTCAGGGCAGCCAACCCAAGCAGTTTAACCCTGCTCCAGCTTTCAAGTCCCCCCCCTCAATGGGAGAAGAGCCGTACGGATGTCATCTGCGAGCAAGAGCGGCAGCAGCCTCCCTCCCCTGCGATGCACACGCTGGTTCTTGCATGCACACATGGGCTCCCCTCTTCTCCTCCTCCTCCTCCTCCTCTCCTCACCAGGTGCCCTGACTTCCCTCTCCCCTCGGGCTCTCCCAGATCCCTCGGCAGCCGACCTTCCGCGCTCCGGCTGCCTCTCCGCCTGCTTCAAGGCCGAGCTTTGCCGCAGACGGCAGTTTGCGCGGCGGCACGGGGAGCGCTGGAGCCTGGGGAAGGCAGGAGGGTCAGGCGATGGCACGCTGGAAATGCATAATGCAGCGTCCATCGACTGCAGGCGCCGTGTTAATATTGCATACCCAGGCAAAGCCTCCAGCTCTTTCTTTCTTCAAGGCCTCCCAGCCTCTTTGCAGCTTTTAGTCCAGAAAGCAGAGGACATTTTGCCGGGTGGAATGTAGAGGCAGACGCTGCTTTTCGAGGATGCAGTTCCCACTCCGGGCTCGCTGACCCACCCCAGACCCCGTACGCTGCTCTGCCAGGCTTTCCCCCGGGGCTCGAGCCGTCACCCTCTACACCATGTGGGATAGGTGTGGGATCCCCATATCTCACCCCTTGTGCCTCGAAGTAGGGGTCTGTCCCGTCCCATCCCATTTCCATACCCCCCACCCCTACAGATGCTTCCAGCCCTGGGTCCCTGCCCACCCCCCCAACTCCTTCCACCCTCACCGGGCTGTCCCAAACCTGCCCCCCGTCCCGCTGATGCTTTCCAGCCCCTCTCCACACCGCCGTTTCCACCCTGAGCTGTGACCCACCTCCCTCTACCCCTTCCCCACCAGCATCCCTCTGCCCTCGCCCCCCCGCCCACAGCCCTGCCCAGGCAGCCAGGGATGTCCCAGTTTGGACCGAGCCCGGTGGGGCTGATGGAAATGGGGTCTGAACCTGCTGTCGGGGGCCGCGATTTTCCCACCCGGCATCCTTTGCTGGAGATAAACGCTACACAGGGGCCTCCACCAGCGTTAATGCCTCCCCGTGCTGGCGGGCAAGGGGCGAAGCAGCTGCGTGTGTCCCCCCACCCCCAAACCCCGGGGGGCTTCGGCGAGAAAGAGCAATGACGGCAGCTGATCCCCACTTCCCTTCTGGAGGTTTATTTCTCCATTTGGGGGGTTATCCCCCCCAGCTCCAAGGGTGAGTCCAGGTGACCGCTCGCCTTTTCAGGCCATTTGGCTCCAAGAAGAGGCACTGGGAGCGGGGGGTCCCCTCCGCATCCCCCCCCCCCACTCCTCAGCGGCAGGAGCACTTGCAGGCGGCCACGACAGGGTAAGGGATCTGCCGCCAGGCGCAGTGTGGGGGTCCGGGGGTCTGGGGGACCCAGCAGTGCCAGGCTAGAAGCTTGATGTGGGTGAGCTGCGCGGGGCGGCAGGTCATGCCGGGGGGCCAGGAGCATCCGGGGGGTCCGGTCTCGCAGGCGGTGTGGCGGACCCAGCGGGGCCAGAAGACCGGTCCCAGGTCGACCCAGGCAGAGGTGAGGCGGCAGGCGGCCTGTTCCACCAGCCACTGCTGCAGGCGGCGGGCCAGAGTCCCCAGTAATTCGGGGGGCAACCCCGAGCCGGGGGGCAAGAGGGTGGGCAGCTCCAGCCCCTCCAATTCCCGCCACAGCTTGCGTCGGTAGCGTCCGGCACCCTCTGCCAAATCCCGGCTTAGGGACTCCAGGTTCTCCTCCGGGATGCTGCCGTTGAGACCCCGAGGTTTTTCGGTCGCCATCCAGAAGCGGTCAAAAGCCGAGCCCAGCAGCCGGCGCAACCGGCCGGGCTTCAAGTGCCGGGGTTTGGGGGAGTAGCGGTAGTCCTCGGGGGAGAGCGAGAGGCTGTAGGGCCGCGCCGGGGCCGAAGGGCGGCCGCGTAGCAGGCGGGCGGCGGGGTCAGCGGTGCCGGACGGCGGCAGCGGCGGATCCCGGGATTCCTCCGGAGGTGGACCCAAGGCATCCAGCGGTGGGAGCAGGCAGAAGAGGAGGAGGAAGAGGAGGAGGAGGAGGCAGCGGCGGTGTGGTCCCTCCGTGGCGAGCGGCATCGCGGCAGGCTGTGCCGGGCTGCGGGCTTGCGCTCCGCCGCATCCCCCCCCTGCCCCGGGTTATCGCCACGTTCCCGAGGCATGGCCTTCCCCTTTTCCCCGGTTGTGGCGGCTGATAACGAGATGGCGGCGGGGACACCTCGCTCCCTCCCATCAGAGGGGCAGGCAGGCGGGGGGGAGAGGCCGCATCGTCCCTCCCGCCATGCCGAGAGGTGCCACCGGAGAGGGGCATCGGGGCTGCTGTGGAGGGGAAGGGGCTGGTGCCTCCTCCTCCTCCTCCTCCACATCCCGCTCCATCATTGGAAGAGGTATCCAGGACCTTCCCAGCAAAGGGAAGCTGGTGGCCTTCGGGTCTCGCCGGGAAAGGATCGCCAAGCCGGGCCGGAGGGCTGCCTGGGTCACTGTCGCCTCTCGGTACATCAGCCAGCACACGAGCTGTCCCGGGCAGATGTGATGGAGCTGAACCTCTGGAGATGGCCTCCCTGGATGGCTTGTCCTCCTTCCCCACGCTGCAGTGCCCCGGCAATGCTGGTGGAGGGCGGACCTGGGCTGGATGGAAACCAAAACCTGCTTTCCTCTCCTTCCCTGGGGTCAGACATTGTGGGAGACACTCTATGGCTCTGTGCCGTGCTGCTAACAATTAATTAATAACACCTAGTAGGAGCAATTAATTGCTTGTGCTCCAGAGGGTTTAGAGCTGTATCCCAAGGACAGGGCAGGGGCCAGGCTCACCATGGTGGGATATTCATGTTCCCCGGAGGTGTTGGGCAACATGTCCTGAAGACCCAGCGTCGAGGGGTGCCTGCGAGACCTGCCGGGGTCCATGGGACCCTGCCCCCCTCCATCCTCCCTCTCCCACCGGAGAGCAGTGGGCTTTTTCTCTCACTGTCCCCTCCTCGCTGGAGCAGGGAACGGCTGAGCCTGCGGGAAAGCTGGGCAGAGAGGAGTTAACTCCAAACCCAACCTCAGGGAGAGGGGAAAAAAAAAAACCACAACAGCCACAGATCAATGGATCCGCAGCAAGAGCAGAGGGAGGGAAAAGGGGGAGACAGAGAGAGAGGAGAGGAGCTCCAGAAGGAGACAGACGTGTGTAGGAGCCAGGAGAGGAGAGAGCAGAGCTGGCAGCGGGCAGGGGCGGGGGTGACGGCACTGGCTGGACAAACTCTTCGGTGGCCCGTGTCCTCCTTGCCACCGCTGCCTGGGCTGGACTGGAGGTCACCCCGGAGTAAGTGGTGAAGCTGCAAGCCCTTCCTCGCAGAGGTGAGTGCCAGCTTCCCAAGCTGAGAGGTGGCCTGAGCAGGGACACGCTGGTGCTCAGAGATGCCCCATAGTCTACCTGCGAGGTGCATGCCCAGAGGGAGATCGGGGTCCTCTGCTCGAGCAAGAAGATCCCACGGGGCCGGGTGGAGGAGCCAGATAGTTACCAGTAGGGTAGAGGGGACCGCAGAGCCAGAAAAGCAGGGATCACCTTTTGGTTTGACACAGAGAGGCTGCTGGGAAGGAGAAGTGGTGTGAGCTGAGAGATGGGGGGGCATGGGATGAAGGAGCTTGCATGACCCAAAAAAAGAGTTAATTGCATGTCAACAGTTGCTAGATAATGGTGTCTTTCCCTCTTGGTTGCTGCTCAGCAAAGGACAATTTGTTCTAATGACGGTACAACACAGGGATGGCTCGTTAGTAAATAGGCTGTTGGCGCTCCCCGTCTGAGCGCAGTGTTGCTCAGGGCTGGAGGAAGTTTTGCGGCAAATCACAATACCTTGAGCTGCAGGAATAATACAGTAATTGCTCCTTTGTAATGATCGTGGTGGTGTGTTTCAGGTGGCTGTGAGGTCTCCCCCCCCCCGCATCCTCTCCTAGCTGCCTCCATCCAACCGATGGCCACCTCTCAGCATCAGGTTGCCTCTCCCCTGTGGAGCATAACTACTGCACAGGGAGCAAGGAGCAGCCAGCTCCTCGGTGGTGGTGGTCCCAGTTTAAGGAGCTCCCTTGGGGCGGGAGTGTGGTGGGGTGCTGCTGCTGCGGGGACCATCAGGTCCCTGCTGCTGCTGGAGGTGGCACAGCCCTGGGGTGAGTGTGCCGGGACCAATTACAGCCCCACGGGAGCCCCTTTCCCTGTGGCCGAGCCCTGTTGAACACCAGCCGAGATTTAGACTTGCCAAAGCAAGCAATCCCAAGAGCTTTAGCGGCTTTGGGATGGTAGGAGGAATGTAGTGGAGGCCAGGCAGCAGGGCAGGGGGTCCTTCAGGGGGCTGGGAGCACAGGAGATGCTGTGGTGGGGGTGTGAATGTGAGCAGGAGAAAGGGGCTTCAGCCAGGCAGATGTGGGCTGACTGATCCCAACAGCATTCTTGCCAGCGATGTCACGAGGATCTTGATGTCATCACTTAACCGGCTGGTTGGGATTGGTATCTCTAGGAGAAACGTGGGTGTCAAAGGCCGGGATCGGGCACCTTAGGGCCAGAGCTCTGTTAGCCACTGTGGTCAACACTGACCAGCACCCACGTGCCTATGGCCATGCACAGGTGCTGTGTCTCCCCTTCTCCCTGCACAGGACCCCGCGGTCAGATGGAGAGATGCCAGGGGGATGGAACGCCTCTTCCGACAGCCCAGAGCTACGAGCAGCAGGGATTATTGTGCCCGTCATCTTCTCCTTCATCTTCCTCCTGGGTACTGTGGGCAATGGGCTGGTGCTGGCCGTGCTGCTGCGGAATGGCCAAGTCAAGTACAACACCACCAACCTCTTCATCCTTAACCTGGCCATGGCCGACCTGTGCTTCATCATCTGCTGCGTCCCCTTCCAGGCCACCATTTACACCCTTGATGGTTGGCTCTTTGGGGCCTTTGCCTGCAAGGCTGTGCATTTCCTGATCTACCTCACCATGTATGCCAGCAGCTTCACCCTGGCCGCTGTCTCTGTTGACAGGTAAGTGTCCCCTTCCCTTTGAGTCCCTCAGCTCAGGGACAACGTGTTTTCCACCCTTGAGCTGAGGGGTGGGAGAAAGGCCAGTCCTTGCCCTGTTGAGTGTCCTGTAAGAAGCAGGTAGGGTGTCCCCAGAGGCAGAGCCAGCCTCCCCAGCTCCCCGTGCCCTCTCCCAGCACCAAGCCAAGCTCTTGGCCTGGTTACCCAGCCCTCACTTGAGAAGGAGGAGTGCAGGCACATGCTGAGGTTTGGTGTCCATCATGCAAAACCAAGAACGGCAAAAGTCCCAGGGCAGCAACACGCTACAGGAGAAGCAGGGAGCCCTCTGGGTCCTGCTCCTATCCTTCTCTTCCCTGGTTCAAGAGGCGCACTGCTTGCCCTTCCTGACCCAGCACAGCAGAGTGGGCGATGGAGATCCCAGACCCGCTGTTGGGATGATCCTGATCTCTGTGTGAATTCACTGTAACCCTCCCTACCAGGAGGTGGGGAGGGGGAGAAATGGGTGGCTGCATGGGAAGGGGTGCACAGATGGCAGCTCCACAGGACATGAGAGATAACTCATCTCACCCATGTTGTGTTTGACCTCTCCTTCTTCTTCCCCTCCTCGCCAGGTACCTGGCCATTCGCTATCCACTGAAGTCCCGGGATCTCCGCACCTCCCGAAACGCAGGAGTGGCCATTGTAGCAATCTGGTCACTGTCACTGCTCTTTGCGGGGCCTTACCTCAGTTACTACCAGATTGTCCATTACCACGGGGTGCCCATCTGCGTCCCCATCTGGGAGGACCAGCGCCGAAAGATTCTGGACATCCTCACGTTTGTCTTCGGATACGTCCTGCCCGTGTTCGTGGTGAGCATGGCATACGCCAGGACCATCAAGTTCCTGTGGACCTCTGTAGACCCCATAGAAAGGATCTCGGAGTCCCGGAAGGCCAAGCGTAAGGTCACCAAGATGATTGTGGCTGTGGCCATCCTGTTCTGCCTCTGCTGGCTGCCCCACCACCTGGTCATCCTGTGCTTCTGGTTTGGCCACTTCCCCTTCAACCGAGCCACTTACGCTTGCCGCTTGGCTTCCCACTGCCTTTCGTATGCCAACTCCTGCCTCAACCCCATTGTCTATGCCCTCATCTCCAAGCATTTCCGCAAGCGTTTCAAGCAGGTCTTCACCTGCCTCTTCTTCCAGAACAAGACCAGGAAGAAGAAGAGAGTTGGAAAGAAAGTCCATGTGGTCAACGTGGGCAAAGCTTTCACCAACAGCACCGGAGGTTTCTATGGAGGCAACACTGAGGTGACTCAGGTCCCAGAGGAGAACATCAGGAAGAGGGACCCTGAAGGTGCCAGTCATGCCAGAGCATGGACTCACCAGCTACAAGACACCATGGTCTCTGTTCAGAAGGAGCTGCTGGAGGAAGAAAGTTTGGCAACAGCTGGCCGTCCCCTAGCCATGACCCCTCCAAGAGGAACTCGGGAGTTTCTGACTGTTCACTACAGATGAACAAAGTGAAGAAACCTGTTTTCCAGCCAGTGAGTAGCCAGTCCATTCCCAAACAGGCAGAATAACGTGGGGCAGAGGGGAATGGATGCAGCAGGGCCACCGAAAGATCCTGTGGCAATGGTTAACCCATTGTCCCCACTCACCTTCACTCACTGGCCCACAGCATTCATATAGGAATGGCACAATCCACCCGTACAGCTGCAGAATGGAGGGACATCTTAACGTGCTGCCAAGTGACCTGGGAGGCCTTCCTGCAACAGGTTTTAAGGCTTCTGTTTCCCAGCTGCCTAACTTGCTAATTTTGTGCAGCACCTTGAAACTCTAAGAGGGAGGCAACCAAAATGAAAACATCCTGGTAGGAAATCCAGGCTGTTAAGGGTGCACCAGAGCATAGGTGGGAAGGGTGGAGAGAGCGCACAGGGACCTGAGTGTGAATAGGGTGGCTGGCAGCCTCTCTCCCTGGCAGCCCCAAGCGGTGGAACACTGTCCCCTGCCCACATGCCCTTCTTTTCCCATGGGCCAGCCCATGTCCACCTCCATCCCCTTCCCTAGCCCCTGCATCCAGATCAAAGGACCTTTGCCACACCGGCTACGAGGAAGTCAGCCATCTGGGCTGACAGCTCGATGATGCAAACTCCATAGCAGTCACTAGTCGTACTTAAATGATTTATGCCACAGCAGGTGAAGAATGGAAAGGCTTGTATGCCAACACCTCTGCGTGCCTCCCCTCTGCCCCTCTGGCTTCTCTTAAGTTCAAGAAGGAAAGGACCTTCTGCCCAGTCTCTTCTCTCCACCCTGCCCCATGAGAAGTACTCGCTGGAGGATGTTTCCTAGAGCTCTGTCCCACCTGGCTTTAGCTCTTGCAAGCAGATCCTGCAGGACACTGTCCCAATTCATAGTACTGCTTGCAGTTCAGAAGTATTTCCTGACAGCCATCCTCAGTTCTTCCTAAACAAACCCGGTAACTCCTCCTTCCACCACATTGTTCCACCCCTCTGCTTACTGTTTGCCTTTTGCAAATTCCTAAGGGATTGCTGCCTCCTCTTTGATCTTTGCTTGCTACTCGGAGCTTCATCCCTTCCTTCTGGGGGCTGAAGGACCTGTTGCTCTCTCAGCAGATGTTATTCAGTGATATTAGCCCCCTGTGTGTGGTTTACTGACTTGGCCAGACAGCTTTTTTTCCACGTGATGATGACGATGATTGTGAGTGAATTGATGGCTGTCACCAAAGCAGAAGAAAGTAGCCAAGCTGCAAAATGAGCTGTGGAGCCACGTGATGGTTGTGGTGAGGCAAAGGAGAAGGAAACAGGCCCATCACACCCATGTGCACTTAGTTTCTGTCTCCTCAGTGCCCCTTTCTACCTGATGGAGAAGGCTTCCAAGGAAAGAGAGACCAACACCACTCAGAGCGTTGGGACATCTTCCAAGACGGCAACCGTTGCGGGATTGCGGTGGGACCCATGTCCACCTGGGAGCAAAACTTTCCCCTGCTCTGTCCCTTCTGCCCTGAGCAGCCGTGGAGGAGCCTTTGGTAGCAGCTCAATGACACCCCGCAGCAGGGCCAAGAGTCCTCCCAGCCTGACAGTGGGAAGGATGGAAAGTGCTGCAGGGATGGCGGGGTGGGGCAAGAAATCAGATTCACCAGAAGGTGCTGGAATTTCTCCCCTGCTTGACCGTAATAAACCCTTGTAATTTCCTTATCCTGCCATGTTTGCTGTGTGCTGGATACAATCTCTGCCCGGCGCGGGGCTCTGCAGTTTGGGCTGGAGGTGGTGGAGGCTGTATGAATCGTCCGAGCAGAGTCTGGTTCTTCTGACTCACTAGCAGGGCATCATTTATATTTGACTTTGCAGCCACTGCAGAAGTGTACGGAAGAAACAATGAGGGTTTTAAGAGGGATCCAGCACTGCTGGTGTTCGACAGAAAGTTGTAGGAGAGGGAAAAGGAGGGATGGTGAAAGGACAGGCAGAGGGGGGCAATATAAATGAGAATGTGTGGGGCCGGGCGGGAGCCATCCACAGGGACAGAAAGCGGCAATGAGAAGGCAGGGTGAAACGAGGGGCTAGAAGCAGAGAGCAGAAGGGAGGATAAGAGGGCATGAGCGAGGTGGGAAGCAATGTGCTGGCAGAGCACCCACGTTTTGGCAGGAGCCTTCCCCCATCCCAGCAGTGTCCCGCTGCTCCGGAGCTGGGGTGAGCATCACTGGGCTGTGCTGGACCCCAGCCTACAGCAGCTTTCTCCAGCATTTTTCTGCATCATCAGGCTGCCAGAGAAGCCCAGAAAAACACCAGCCAAGCGAGGTCTTTGATCAGTCTAGCGCACACGTAAGGGAGGGAGCTGGTGGGATTTGCATCGCTGCACGCTGTGATTTGCCACGGTGCCTGGCAGAGCCAGGTCCAGGCACGTGGCTGGCTTCACGCAGCTCCCGTTTTGTCACGTAGTCATGACATGAGTGGAGAGGGGAGGGGGACCAAGAGGGGTACTTGGCTTCCCCTGCGTGCCAAGTCTATGTGCCGCAGGTGACTGCAGCCACCTGAGGCCATACTCTGCGGGGACAAGACAGCTTTGCTGTGGGCACACAAGCTGTGTGATGCCACCTGGCTTGCAAGTGCAAGCAGGACAGACCCTGCATTTTTTGCCAGCACAGACATAGCTCCTGAGCCTTGGTTCTGTGGCCCGGGAGCTTTTGGTGATGCTGTAGGACAAGACAAGGAAGAAGCCCTAGAAAGGGGATAGACAGATCACCTGAGAGACCAGGAGGGGGAAAAGGGACTGCTTTTGCTGGCCAGGAAAGCCCTGAGGAAGGGAAAGGGACCAGCCTGTGGAAGGACCTCCATGGGGAGAGGTGAGGGAGAAATCTCCGTTAGCATCATGCTTTCTGACCACATCTCAGGGGCTTCGCTCTCCTCTGGGAGAGGCCAGGATCACCAGGTCCACAGCTTATCCCCACTGAGATGGTCTTCTGTTGGCAGCAAAAGAGATGAGCTTGTTCGTTCAGACCCGTTAAACTGAGCTCAAGCCCCACAGAGCTCCTTCAGCGACCTCCTCCACAGTCCTGCAGCCAGGCCTGGGATGCCTTGGCCACAAATCATTAGACCTGCCACCATCCCAGCTCAATATTTACAGTAAACTTTACATGATTGCAACAGCTCTCCTTTTCCTTAATTACATATGGCATTTATTCAGTGCTGTGTGGCTCCTGAGTGTGTAACTCTTACATGAAGCAGATCTTCACCCATAATGCCCTAAGAGTAGTGAAAGAGGGAAAGCTTGGCAGAAAGTATTTAGCGAAAGCAGTGACGTTGTGGGACTCTCCAGACTTCCACACTGAAGCTAGGAAACAGTTACAGATCATCATGGCGGCAGTAGGTTTCGGAGTGAACACCTTTGCCCTGAACAGGGCAGATGGTTCTCCTTCCACGGCAGTTTGCTGCCCTGCACCCTGCTGCCCACAGCCAGCGTGTGCATGGAGATATCCCTCACGGCAAAGCCCTACAGGCTGACTTTCCAGGCGGAGATGCAAAGACTGGGTGCTACAGCAGACTCCGTAGCCTGGACATCTCCAAGAACCATACTTCTTGCTTTCTAGCTAATTAAAACAGTGAGGCAGCTAATGCTGCAGAGCCCCAGCTGGCAGAGACGAGCCATTTACTGCCAGCCCGCTGATCATCAGGAGCCGATTGCCAGTGTGAGCCTGCAGCAAATGTGAAGTTTTTAGAGGCTGCGCAGCCCCGTCGGGAGTGTTCCGAGCCCCGCACGGGCTGTGGGAACCGCTGGTGCCCTCGCTGGTCCCCGTGCATGGTGGGACATTGGCAAGGCAGCTGGAGGCTACGTCAAAACTAAAGGGGTTTTGGCCCCAACCGTGCCCTTCGATGCTCTCAGTGCTGCAGGTGTTGTATGGCAGGGCTGGGAGACATCAGGCAGCAAGGGACTTGCAGACCTGTGACGTGCGTGAGCAGAGCCACGAGTCCCCCTCCTTATTTCTCTTCTCTTTCTGTCCCCTGCTTCTGCTTGCGTAAATCTTCCCTTATTGATTTGTCCTGCTCACTCTTAAAATTCCCAGGCAACGTGATATTTCTAACCCTCGCTGAAGCTGTCGCATGCCTCGCTAAAGCTCAGCTCCAAGGACATCTCTTTCCCCGTGCGGAGGCCAGCCGAAGTGCTGTGCTGGGAATTATTTTTCTTTTTCCACCCAAGTGTCTGATGTTGCTGTCTGCACCTTGAGCCTCCCTTGCTTCCTATCCCCGTTTCTGATTTCTCCAGCTCCCTTCCTTCGTGGTGGCTGCCGCTCCCCTGCGGCCGATGCCTTTCGGAAACGTGTCCAGTGTGCTTTTCCCACTTTCCCAGGGATGACTAGTCCTGCAGCCGCCCTTTGCACGCGATGCCGTGGCTGGTGGCCAGCTCACACGGCCTTGAGCGGCCTCTGGGTAAAACGAACGTGTACATCATTTCTGTGGGTGAGGACTCACGTCACAGCCCCAAAGCATTGGAGGGAGAAGGGAACGGCAGTCGGGAGCAGTGGTACGGCACAGCCAGACGCTGCCTGTTCTTGCCCACATGCGGCCGGGCTATTGCTCACCCCTGATCCTGCTTCTCCTGGTCCCAGGTTGCAAAGGGAGCAGATCAGGTCAGGACTGACTGCTGCGCATTGGGGTGAAGCCGAAATAAAACAGGACAGAGAGAACAGCTGGGGGAGAAGGTATATTTAGCCTGGTAAGTGTTTGCAAGCCCTGGCTCCCATCCCTGCGCTCTGCCTGGTGCTAAGGCCCGATTTTGGGGGGCACATGAGCAGGAAAGGTAGATGCTGAGCCCAGGCTGGGGAGGCTCCAGAGCCAGGAGGGAATTCCTGTCTGCCCAGTAACAGCATACAGGCTCCAACTGGTTTCTCAGCTCAAAGGCAGAGGTGAAGAAAAGGTGTTACATCGTTGATATAGAGCCAGGTTTAATTAAAGCTGAAGGAGCTTGATTGCTGCTTTCCACGCAGCCTCCCCTCCAGACTGATTAGCATTCTGCAGTCTCCACTCCCAGCTTCTCACCTTAATTAATGACTCCTTGCTTATATTTTCTTTCCCACTTGTCATCACTTGGGCTGATGAGCTGGCTTTAACGCTGCAGAGGCCGGTTTGCCACATCGGCTGGGAGCTCGCGTGGGGCAGAAGGAACAGGAGAGGTGAGAGCAGGTCGGGGCTTGGTGGTTGGCAGTCAGCACCAGCTCCCCTGCAAGCTGGGCTATGTAGCTACCCTCTGCAGACCAACTCAGCCCTGCCAGCCGTGTGCTGGTTCTGGTGCCTGGCATCTCCCCAGCGTGCATGCCGTGAGCCCGACGCTGCTGGGAGGTATATCAGACCCAGGTGCCGAGAAGCTGATTCTGCTGATGCCCTGGTGTGCAAATCTGGCAGCCCTGGGAGCGGGGGGTTCCCCATCTGCAGACACGTGGGGCTGTGGCAGACAGAAAGCTGTTACGAGGACGGCTCCTAATTCCCTGGCAGAGCAACAGGCTCGGGTGCTGCCTGTGTTTGCCCTTGTGCTGACGGGAATGGGACCTTGTACGGACACTCTGCAAACAGCCAGGACAGTCCTGCAAAGGCAGCTCGTGGCAGGACAACCTTGCCAGCTCGCAGGCAGAGAAGTACTGGTGTGACAGGCATGGTCAAGGCACGTAGCACTACTAGCTATAGGGAATTCTGCTTATTTGCTTTTGGGTTTAGCTGCTGGTTCCTAATCCATGACCAGCCTTAGCAGGTTGCCAGCTGATTATTTTAATTCTTCCAACAACCACGTACTCTCTTCCCCTCTCAGAGCTTTCAGAAAAAAACAGAGGAAGGCTATTTGCTGTATCTGTCTCCTTTATCAGCTTCCTAATCGAAACTCCTGGCTCTTCCACCTACTCACCTCATGGGCCCTGAGCTGCCCAGGGCTGCTCTCCCACGCTGACTGGGCACAGTGCACAAAGAAGGCATCTTTCTGCAAGTAGCTTTCTATGATTGAGCAGAAGAGATCTGTCTTGCTCATGGAATGAGCGGAGGAAGCAGATGAAAGGGTGGGAGGTTTGCCAGAGATGCTTCATGGGGCTTCTTTAGCAGCGCAGATAATTACAGTGATGGATTTGGAGTCTGCTAGAAAGGCAAAAGTGGAGAAAGCAACAGAGTTCAGGTGTTGGCTCAATACCCTGGACTTTAATTATTTCAGCTGCTGAAGAGTTGAACAGATTCTTGATGTTCACGCATACTGCAGTGTGAGCTTTGCATTTGCTTGCATAGGTAAGTTGCCGCTTCAGCGAACGGCCTCTTGCTGAATAACACCCACGCAGCTTTGTTAGGAGGCTTTGTTCAGGGCTGTTGCTTCTGCTGTGGGTCCTCAGTGAGTCGCAAGCAGGTTTTCAGTCTTCACTTGCTTGGATGAGCCAGATCCTCAACCTGGCTGGTTTTGGTTGCATCTTACAGCACAGCAGTGGCTGCAAAGACGGGGAGGTTGCTGCTGGGTTCAGTGGCTGGGGATTCAGCACATTACTGCAGAGCTGTGCTCTGAACGAGGAGGGGAAATGGAGTGTATTTGTGGACACCAGACAGCAGTGAGGGGAAAGCAAGGCCTTGGGTCAAGTCCTGGTTGACATCATGGCCCTGAGAAGGGGATGCACCACCGCTTGGGAAAGGGACCTGGAAGGTGTGTTTGATGGTGTAGCACAAGGAAAATGAGGAGGTTAGACTGAGTTTAATGGGAAAATAAATAGCAGAGGGAAACCCTCTGCTGTTGTTTTCATTCTTTGTTACTGCAGCAGATACCTCTGGGAGATGCAGAAAGCTGCCACCAGCCTCACACCTATGGGCTGTGCAGGGAAATCTGTGGCCCAGGGTGCAAGGGCAGGGGGAAAAGGTGCTGGGAGAGGCCAAAGACTCTAGGCAAGGAGCAGCAGAAAAAACAGACAGTGCCAGTGAACAGCTCTGAGAGCAGCATAAAGCCACAGTTTCTTCCTCTTCTGGAGCCTTTTCTTTCCTCCTTTCCCTGCCCAGCACCTAATTCTCTTTCTAGATACAGCTGCTGAGCACGGCAGGGTAGTCAAGGCTTTGGCATGACCAGCTGACACAAAGAAACCTAAAACTTTTCTCAGTCCAGTGCCAAACACATGACACAGCTCTCAACAGCCCAATGCTTCAGCCCTGAGGCAGGAAAGCAGAACTGGCTGCAGTGATTCACAGAATACGAGTCCTACATGATGCAATTTTTTCCCCACTGAAAACCAGAACCCCTTTTCTCTTTCTTATCTGCTGTTATCACTAAAGCAGTGGCAAAACTTCCTATAAGCCTGCTTGTTTTATTGTTCCTCAGTTCATTGTGCCAGTCTCCAGGGGACTGCCAGTGCTGCTTCACCTCCCATGGAAGGAGCAGTGCTGCAAAAGAGGGAAGGCAATTGCTCCTGGCTGGCTGCAGGACCCCCCACCTTTCCCTTCCGAGCGTAAAGTCAAGAGCAGTTACAAAAAGCTCCAGCGCCAGGCAAGACAAAGGCCTGAAGAGCTGTGGACAACAACATCACGTGTGCTCAGGCTAAAAGCTTCGCTTTGAGTCCCAGCTAGGTGTATTCCTGGTTTTGAGGAAAGCTTCCAAGCTGCAGCTAGTTAGCAGACAACATCAGCAACTAAGGTAAGTGCAGCAATAAAGAGCATTTCAGCCGCCTGCTCTTGGGGCACCTTAATGGTCTCCTCAGCAACAAGGCTGTTGAGTGCAGAAGCCTTGATAGCTGGGTGTATGTGGACACCAAGACTAGGCTGCGAAGACGGGAAGAAACAAGACTGGACGTGAAAGCTGCTCCTCACACAGGGACCAGCCTGGAAATCCTCTGTCCTGCCCAGATGTCCCTCCCCAGCCCCTCATCCTCTCGCTGTCTCTTCACAGCACAACCATTTTATCTGGCACGGGGCAAGACATGAGTTCAGCCGCCTTCTCCCAACCAGCTCCGTACTTTTGCAGGAGTACAGACTAGGCAAGGCTGCTTTTCCTCTTTGCAAAACATCCCATCTTCCAGCTTGAAGCAATCCCGCTGAGATTCTCTTTCCTTTATTTGTACAGTTTTACAGCAACTAACTAGATTTAAAGTCTGGATTTCTTGGCTGTGGAAGATCAGAAGGTGAGCCAACAACCACGTACTTCGATCTGCAAACAGACTGGTGTTTGAGTTCAAACAACTTTGTGTCATTGCTTCTGATTTCAGGACCAGGTATGAGAGTAGCAATTACCAAGTCTGGTGCTATGCATGGGGACTGAAACTTAGGTAAAGAACGAGGAATGAGCCGCTCTGGAAAAAAAGAGAGAACTTGGCTGAGGAGTCTGAAAAGGCTGACAGTATTTTATTGAAGTTCAGCATACAAAAAGGTCAGATTGTCTCCCACCCCCTCAGTATCCTTTCCATCCAGCATATCGTAATGAAGTATCAGTATTCACAGTGACAGCTCCAGCCAAACCACAAGACCGTTAGTCCCAGTCATAGCCTCCAGCACCCCATGGATGAACCCATCTAAAAGCTGTGTGTATTTCTGGTATCTCAGCTTGGGAGGTCCAGTTTGCCTCTTCCTGGACAAGAGGCCAGATATTAGAGAACATGCTGACCTGAAGGTCTCTGAAGAATGCTCCAGACTGTGGCTGTTGCACGGTTAAGCTGAATCCTAAGAGAACACTTCCAAACCAGTGATTCCCAAGCTGTGGGATGGGTGTCACTACCAGCACACTGTGTCATTTAGGTGTGGTACACAGGTGGGAACTCAGATTGCTATTGGACATGTTCTTGTCACCTTGCTGCTATTCACACCCTACCTACAAAATTTATGGAAACCTGCTCCAAAACAAAGCTATCTACAGTTTCATTACTAACCACAGTGGGGCAGAAGCAAAAGATTAGCAAAGGCAATTCCCTGCATCCTTCATAGCTGCATCACTTCGGGCTCCCAGCAGAGGTCATAACTCATTCTTTGCACTGCACTTAAGGTCCTGGAGCAGCACCTCTCCATGACAAGCAAGAAACACAGTATGGGTGAGCTCTGGGTTTGGTGCTGCTGAGGCAGCTGTAAATCCACCTCCAGCCCAGCTCAATAATACAGCTGAATACACAACACCTCCTGCTGCAACTGGACCTCTTGCCTGAGACTGCCACTAGTAGGAAACACAAAAGTCAGTTATGGTGGTTTGGTTTTTTGTTGTTTTGTTTGTTTGTTTGTTTGTTTTCCAAGATGTAAATGTCTGCCTAAAACTGTGCTAGCATTAAGTCACCCCCCCAAAAACGTTAATCTTGCATCAGGGCAGCCCTGACCTGCTAGCTGTCTACCTGGGTATTTTTTTGCAAGTGTTTCACTGTAGTATTTAAGCACTAACTTGCAGCAGTGATTTAAAAACCAGGGCCAGTGAAAGCTGTTAGTCTAATGATTAAAAGCTTTGTATCCCATTTGTAACCAGTCCGATTCTCTGCCCTCTGACCACAGGCTCTGGGGAAGGTTAGGATTAAGCCTCGGTGCATGTTTCTCAAGACCATATGTTTGCTCAGCTGCTAGCATGCAGAATTAAGTGTGTGTTCTTTTCACAGCACAAAGCCTTCTGTTGTCTGAGGCATGTACTTTCTCCCCCGTGCAACTGAGTACTGCGGTGGTGGCAAAAGGTGCCTGTTCCAAGCATTTCTGTGATGTTGGCCAGCTGCTGAGTGCAATAGTCAGGGCTAGTGACTGCACATGGCATCAGCCACCACCTACATTGAGCTGAAGTGCTTAGGAGAAGGCAAAATATCTCTGGAAGGGTATCCTATTAAGCGCCAGCCCATCTGATAAAAAGAAGAGCAGGTCTGTTTTTCCAAAAGTCTCAGCTGCAGCACTCTGTTGTCTCTGTTGTCCAAAGCCCGCTGTCTCCCCATAAGGCAGCTGTGGCAGCACCAACAGGAACAGTCTGGGCACCACAGGAGAGTGGATCTGGCAGGAACAGCTGCTGGCAGCAATGTTCATTCAGCGATCTGGGAAGCAAGCTTCAGCTTCCTCTTCTTCTCTCTATGGCTTCTCCTGCTGCATCAGGAAGATGATTTGGAAGCCCATTACCTCTTCTCCATCTTCTGCATCTGCAGGCTGAGTGATGTGAAGCTGGCCAGGAGGTCTGTGACCTCGTCCACCTGCCAGAAGAACACAGCTGGCTGTTAGGCAGGGGAATGCAGTTGTGCAGTCTCCCACCACCACAGAAGAAACCCCCATGCAGCAGGGACCACCCTTGCACCAGGACTGCCAGTAAAGCCCACGCTGAGCTTATACTAGGTCAGGATCCCTTTGATCCCACAGTTGTGTAGAAGGGCTCCTGTCCTCCTGATCAAACAAGTCCTAACCCAAGGCAATGGGAGCTTCTCCCCATTCCTCAGGAGGTCAATGCTTGACCTCCACCTTGCATGATTTAGCTAGTACTTAAAATAGAAGCATGTTGCTGCATTACCCAGAACTCAACAACGGTATCAGGGCTGTTTCCTCTAAGTCTGTTTCTAAGGGCCAATCTTTTGTAAAAAAAAAAACAAACCAAAAACCAACAAAAAACTACCAGGCCCTGCAACCCTCTGTGGTTGTGCTGATCCTGGCCTTAAAATGCTTGTGCCCTCAGCCCATCTGATCTTCAGCTTCTCTGGAGAGCTGCTAGGCTTTTTGCATTTTGAATTCCAACCTAAAGGAGTACCATGAGTCATCACATAACCTGCCCACTTTACTCAATGTGAGCAAGAACACTTCCATAACCATGTCTTCAATGTCACCTTGCTGATGCAGTTGCGTTCTCCTAAACACAGAAGTCACAATGCAAGTAGGTGAGTCACAGCAGCTCAACACTTCCTACCTGCTCCTTTGTGCTAGTCATCTGTAACCTGGAGCAGAGGTCATCCAGCTGTTCCTTTTGCTCATGCCTCCCCAGACGCTCCAGGTATTCCCGCAACATCTGTATAATCTGAAACCAACAGGCGTAAGAGGCAAACATCAGACAGCTGCACCAGGCTGGGATGTTTTTACAGGAAAAATTAAATTGCAGTTAAGTTGCCAAGCACAGCCTTGATGCTGCGGTATGTGGCAGAATATGACCCATAGAGAAGAACACATGCAAAGCAACTGGAGAGCACTAATGGCAGCATCAGAGCCCAGTGAGTCACCAGAGGCGTTCATCAGCCACAGATGGACTAGTCGTGACCCCTGTGCCTGGTTTAAGAACAGGGAACAGAGACAGGTCCAGCTGAAGCATAAGGTCTAGCCCTGAAAGCACCAAGCTCTTCTTTATGTCTAACTAGCTTCCCTCACTGTGAGGAGCAGGGACATCCCGCTCCAGCAGGATCCGCTTGTGCGCCGAGGATAAAAATCCTTGTGGCTCCTATGTGGCTCCTGAAGCAAGGCCCTCACCTTGTGCATTTGTGGCTTAGCCCTGTGACTGCTTTCCTATTCCATGCCTCCACATACTAGAGCAGGGCAGAATGTGCTAGGAATGCAGAGTCCCTGCACGTGTATGCCATAGCTATAGCCCCATGCTGTGGTCCCTCTCCTGCCACAAGGCACCTGTCTTACACAGTGGTTGAAGAAAAGAGAGTGCTCCATACAGCCTGAGAATTAAGACATTCAATGCATCCTTGGCCTACCAGAGCCAAAAGAGGTCCTGCAAAAATTCAGAGTAGTGGTTGGGAAAAAGGAAGGTCTCTGAAAACAGAAGGAAGAAGTCAAACTCTCCCCAGAGCAGCTAAGAGCCTACAGACAGGTATTTAAAACAGCCGCTAAATGATATTTGACCCTTAAAGGGTGCAGGAGACTGCCAGGGGCTGCACCACCTTACCATAACATGGAACTGTTTCTTTTACCTGTTTCACTTCAAGGCGTACAGCCTCCAGGCTGTGGGAGAGTCCTTCCTGCAGGATGTTTAGCTTTGATTTAGCGAGGTGCAGCGGGGTTCTGCCAGCTCGATCCAAGGCATCGACTCTAGCCCCTGCAAGATGCATGAGCAAGGACAGAAAGTGAGGTCTGTCTTCAAGACTTAGTGTCCCTGGGGAGTATCAACCGAGGCAGGGCAGGAAAAGGACAGGCTGTAATTGTTACAGAGGAAATGTTACCTCCGCGCAGCAGCGTGGTGATGACAGGAACGTGGTTCGTGCAGGCAGCTGGGGAGGGAAAACACAGGACACACAACTCAGAGGTACTAGCAAACAACAAAGGAGTTTCTGCTCAAGTGTGGAGCTTGCTGCTTCCCAAAGGGCTCTTTGCCATTGGAAAGAGGAACAGCCCAACTGCTAAGGGTAACCTCATACTCAGGCCTGAGTACTCTCTCTGGAACAGATCTCACATTCCTTGGGGCTGGCAGAGGGAGGGAAATTGATATTCTCAAACTCTGACCCTTAAACCTTTGTGAGGAGTGAAGCTAGCAAAAGAGTCCCTCCTAGGTCCTTAAAGCTGGGGATGCACACTGTGATGCACAAGAAAGAGGAAGGTGGAGAGGAAAGAAACAGCAAGGCAGTGTTCACCTCGCCTGTCTGCATGCAAAGCTCATCTGTGTGGCACTTACCCAAATGTAAGGGGGTGTTTCCCAGCCCATCTCTCTGGTTTGGGTCAGCCCCATGGTCCAGAAGCAGTTGCACTGGAAACAAGGAAACAGAGCCACATCAGTCCCTTCCCTTTTCCCCACGGGTCAGGCCCACATGGGTCGCAAGTCCACGTGGCAGCCACCATGCTGCCTTACGGGTGCTTCTGTTCAGCTCATCAGCTTCCTGCCAGAGACAGGGGACGGAGGTTTGCACAGCAATGCAGAAGGACCCAGCACAAAGCCAGGCAGTGCCGCTGCCCCTGGGCTCCCTGAGGGGAAGAACTGGGACTAAGGACATCCTTCCTTCTGCACCAGTACAGCCCTAGAGCTGGGGGCTCCTGCTCCCCCTTCAGCAGGGGGACATGGCAAGCCCTGGAGCCACAGTTCAATTGGCAACCCTGCCACCAAACACATGGAAAACAGCAATCTCCGTCACGTGCTGAATCAAAATAAAGAGCATCCTTCGAAATCTCTGCCACAGAGAGGCTGGAAGCCAGAACTCCCCCTCCCCACTCACCAATGTGATCGTTGCCATTGCAGGATGCAAAGTGCAGGGCTGTCCGGCCTTTGTCGTCGGCAGCACAGGGGTCAGTTCCATCCTCCAAGAGTTGCTGCACTGACAGTGTCAAGGAGAAGAAGATAAGCGGGTAAGCTGAAGGGGCACCTGATCAGAAAGAGGTAATGCTATCTGCTCTTCTGCAGGTAGGTGCACACTCTGCCAGCTGCCAAGTCAACTGGACGTGAACCAGCTCCAGCCAGCCTCCCGGCTCAGCAGAACCAGCCTAGGCAGTGTACCCTCCACTCTCTGTTACAGCCTTCACCATCTTTGCCATAAAAGATAAGCCAACAGCTGTAGTGGCTAAGGCTAAGGATCCATCTAGCCAAATTTTCATGCTCCAAGGACAATCAGCAGCAAATGCCTACAGAAGAGTGTAAAAAAATAGCAAGAATGTAGGGCTAACTCTCACAGCCTTTAGTCAGCTGCATCTCAGGCACTCCCCAAGTTAGAATTAGCATCCTGTGCTTACTATCCCTCCATGGGCTTTCTCCGTAGATTTGCATGGTCATTTTCTGCATCTGTGTAAACTTTTCACAGCAACATGGACCCGTGGCAAGAAGTTTGACAGTGTAACCACATGCAGCGAGAAAAGCCACCTCTTCACAACATATTTTGAATATGTCCCTTCCTAGATTCAGCTGAAACTCCCAGTTTTTGCCATACTAATGGCGGCTACTGTTTGGGAAGCTGGTAGGTGAGTGCACCAACCAGCCAATAGCAGTGCAAATATACCTTTAGGAGACGATGTATTGAAGTGAGCTAGTGAACAGCCCAAGTAGCCATACCATCATCTACTCACACTTGTGCCCCCTTCTTTTCCCCCCAGCTACTTCTTCCATGTCACCATTGGCACTTCTGGTAACCTGAACTACCTCCTTTTCTCAGATAAGGAAAAACCTGCTCACACAGAAAGATAAACTAGTGTGACTCTCCAGTATTGGGTATAACAAAGGCAACGAGACCAGTCAAGGCTGAAAAGATTAGGGACATAAAAGTAGCATCTACAGCAACATGTGTAAGGGCAACTGTAAGGGCTATTACTCCTGCTGTTTTGAGATTATCCCGATATAGTAATCAGTGTGCAAAATAAAGGTCATTCCATAGCTGTTAAAAATACAGACAGATTCACTGTATTTTGAGATCTTTAATAGCATATCCTGCAACAGTCAAGACTGACCAGTATTGGAGACAAGAAGCTAGATAGATCAGACCACTGAAAGTCACCATTTGTCTCAGCTTCCAGAGATTGAATTATAGTCACATTTTAATTTCTTCCTGTACACCTACTGCTTTAAGTGTTGTACAGAAGTGAAAGGAACACCTGACAAGATGGAAGTGGCATTAACAGGGGATGTTTGATACTCCAGAAGAAAGGTGGGGAGACTGACAGTGCCACCAGTGAGAACCATTAATGGGGAACGATTTACCTAGTTCTTCCCTGAAGCCAGTAGGAAATGATATAACCTCTCCCACCCAGTGCTGCCACAGGAAACAGCAAAGATTTTTACATGTTGATGAAGAATAAATTCATCATCAGACACTTCCTCATGTTGCAGAGTACACAAAACACAGCAGGATTGTGAACAGGGGAACCTGCATATCAAATACAGGTGTAAAACTCTAAGATGGATTGAAACCAAGACTTTCATAAAGCCCGATTCTTTCATTCTTCCTCTTGACATGGTGACTGAAGCCAACCCTTTCTGTACTGACAGAGCTCACGGATGAGCTTTATCCATCAGTTCATGAAAAAAAGGTTTATCGTGGAGCCGAGGGGTGAAGCATACCAGACAAACCCCCGTTCTGATATACTAGGAGTTTCTACCAGTCAAACCAGTTTCCAATTCTAATCTACAGTACAGAGAGGTAAAGGGAGTCACAGATAGGCCACGAGCCTCCTCTGAAGTCACAGCGAGAAGCAGAGTCCAGCACTAGTCCTGGTTCTGATCTACTGGGTCACACTGTCTCATCATACAGGCTATGGCTTAGATAATCATAACTTTTCCACCTTACCAAAACACTACTCTCTTATTGCTTACGAATGGGCAGAAGTTACATACCAAAAAAGCTGAAACAGCACAGTGCTGATTTAGCTTGAGGCTGTTGGAAAACTAACACTATGAACCAGATGCAGTGAAAAAGTGAATACTATAACCAGGCTCACTCTGCTCAGAGAACAAAACAAGGCTCCAGAAAAGCAGTTTCTAGATTTGCAGCAACTAAGGCACCATGTCCGCAAACTATCTGCACCCTCCTCCTCCTCTTCTAAAATAAAGGTCCCCGACAAAAATGCCCTTCCAGGAAGAGGTCCCAAGTAGGATTCGTAGAAGTCTTACCTGTGTCCAAGTCGTTGCTATTGGCAGCTTCACGCAGCCTTTTCAGAGCTACGGCGAAAAGAAAGCAATTACTGGAAAGCACGGAGGAAAAAGGAGCGCTTCCCTATCGAAACGTCCCATCCCGGCACTCAGGCCCAGGTGCAGGGCTGGTGCTGGCTCAGCCCAGAGAAGGGGAAGCAGGAGATCAACATGCCAGGTAAGAAGCGCTCTCCTTTCCTCCTCCTGAGGCCGGCCACGGGCCCTCCCCCTCCTGACGGCCACCCTCCCCTGACAGGAGCAAGGGTGCCTCTCCCAAGCCGCCCACCGAGCAGATCCGACCTCTTTCCACAGGCCCCACACACGGGAAAGCCGGAGCTTTACCGGGTTCCCCACACCGGAGGCTCTTCACCCCGCCGAGGCCTGGGCAGGACCGCTCCCGGAGCCCGGAGCGGAGCCGGCCGAAAGAAGGGCCCTTCCAAGGGAGAAGCGCTCACCGTGGCTCTCCTTGCCCGTAGGCCCCAGCCTACGGTGGAGGCGGGCGGCCCTACGCAAGCGGCGGGCCGGGATCTTGCCCGCGGGCTCCTCCCGCTGCCACAGGACGTGCAGGTAGCCGAGGGGGGCACCCGTCACCGCCCCCAGGGCTAGCCCGGTCCCAGGCTCCGGCTCCGGGCCCGGTCCGGGGCCCGGTCCCGCATCGGGCGCTGCTGCGGCCCCGCCGCCGCCCTCCATCCCCTCACGGGCCGGGGCGGGCCGGGCCGCCGCGCGGGGTGCCGGGGGAGAGGGGAGGGCCGTCGCTATAGCAACGGGGCGGGCTCTGTCCGCTCGACCAATCGAAGGCGCCGCACCCCGTGTGCGCGCAGCCAATGGGAAGGCAGAGGGAGGGGGTAGAAGGAAGGCGAGGAGAGAGGCGAAGAGGGAGGTGGAGGCGGTGCCCAGGGAGGTCTGACGGGCAGGCACGCTTTCCAATCAGAACGAGGAGCGGGGCCATAGGTCGCCCCAGGCCTATGGCAGCTCAGCAGCCGAAAGACAGGCAGTTGTTTTAACCAGCGGAAGGGCGCAGCTCCGCTTCACCGCCTCAAGCCCTTCCGCTGGACCGGTCGGAGCCCCGCCCCTGGTCCCACCCCCTTTCCTTGCCGCGCCGCCGCCGCCGCCATGGCCTACCCGGGGGAGGACTACGATAACGAGGTGCGGGGCCGGGGTCCCGGGGCGGCGGGAGAGGAGGGCCGGGGACCCGGGGGGGGTCGTGTCCGTGCTGACTCGCTGCCGCCTTTTCTCCACAGGCCGCCTATGACCCGTACGCCTACTCCAACGACTATGATATGCACACGGGTGAGTGCGGGCTTCGGCCGGGTCTGTAGGCCCGGGCTGGGCCGGGCGGTAACCGCCTTACTGCTCCTCTTTCCCCTCAGGAGACCCGAAGCAAGACCTGGCCTACGAGCGCCAGTACGAGCAGCAGACCTACCAGGTGATCCCCGAAGTGATCAAAAACTTCATCCAGTATTTTCACAAGACGGTGTCGGATCTCATCGACCAGAAGGTGTACGAGCTCCAGGCCAGCCGTGTTTCCAGTGATGTTATTGACCAGAAGGTGTACGAGATCCAGGACATCTATGAAAACAGGTACAAAGCCGTCCTCCCTGCAAGGGGGAATCGCTGTTTAAACTGTGACAAAAGTGCACCCTTGCTCTTAAAAGGAAAGGCCAACTATTACCTGTCTTGTTCCAGGCTTGGGCTTTCTCTAAAATACAGCATGAGGTTTGATTTGATTACTGGGGAAAAAACCAGGTATTTCCAGACCATTAGGCTCACATAAATATAGGTGAGTTGTGACCTATCTGAAGGAAAATACCAGTGCTGTGCCCAACAGATGTGGATGCAGCAAAAAGTGACCTCAGTAGTGCTAGTTAGGCAGTTTGCAGAAAGCTGTGAGGTGTAATTGGTGCATATAGCTGTGTTACCTTACCGTAAAGGGGATGTGAAAGTAACATACTCAACTGTTCCATACTTAAGGGATAAATCAAAGACTTTAATTGTTTAGTTTGCAATTCTCATTCTTTGCTTCAACACTGGACTTACTAAAAGGGGATGGTGGTGGCGGTGGTCTACTTTCATCAAGTCCAAGGCCTCTGTATTGTGATCTCTAACTCTAGCATTGTCATACGGAGATATAGTTTCTAATACCACACGTGTGTCTATCTTTCAGCTGGACAAAGCTGACAGAAAGATTTTTTAAGAATACCCCATGGCCAGAGGCTGAGGCCATTGCCTCTCAGGTTGGAAATGGTAAGTCTTTTACTTTCTTTTTGCTTGTCAGAGAGAGAAGGAGATAAATCACTTTTGATACATGAGTGAGCAGGTGCACAGTGTTGCTGCTGCCTGAGTCAGTCGTCTTCATTTGCTCTGGCAACTCCTTCAGCAGATGCCTGGCAAGAAGTCAAACTTGAATGAAGTATCCTTTTGTGCCTCCCTTTATTACTGTGGCAGGAGGAGCATTGCTGGCGTACCTGAGAGATCCAGTTGCCTAGGCCTTGTGGCTTGCTAATGTCGAGTTCTGTCATCTTTTCCAGATGCTGTTTTCCTCATCCTATACAAGGAGCTGTATTATAGGCACATCTACGCCAAAGTCAGCGTGAGTGTTTGTCCTGTGTCTTCCTGTTGGTTGCATGCTGGCTTCTCCGTGCAATAAAACTTGCCAAATCTTGCTGTCACCACGGTATCAGTGGCTCCATAATTTTTGCAAGACAGGATTGGATGAGCTATAAGTCAAGGTGCTTTTAGGGAAGTTAAAATTCTTGCCGTTTGTTATTTTAGTAAGGATTCACTGATTGCTGAAAAGCAGGAAAGATTTGAATATTTTTCTGAGGCTTGTTAGCTGTCTCCTCAAGCTTGATTGTAATGAGTGTGCAGGTGTCCCTGGCACCTTATATGAATCAGAAGACCTGGTCTGAGTTTTCAGGAGGCTATTATGTAAACATTTGTTACTGACATCAAATGTAGTGGTTAGTGAGTTAAGGAAGAAGGAAGTGTTGGGAGGTAACTGAATTTTCTTTTTGATAGAGCTGTAATTGTAAGACCTATAGATCAGTTGGTTTTGTGTGTTTCTTGTGGCTCTTTGTTCTTCAGATTAGCAGGTGGGTGAGAGGGGGTGTCACAAGAAGAGGGTGCAATATTCATGATTAAAAAAACAAGTGGGGTGAGAGTGCCTTGTGGAGAGGGAAGCATGGGCACCATAAAGGATACAGGAGAAGGAAACAGAAGGAATAATGCTCTATAAAACAAAACTCACTTTTTTTTCTTACGCTAATTTGAAGTCAGTGAGAAAATCTTTAAGGACAGAAGCTGAACAGAAGCATGGCTTACAGAGTAAATAAGTAATAACTGCAGTTTTGATGTGGACCAGAGGGTGGAGAAATGGGCACTTTAAAAAGGCTGCTGTATTAACCTGAGTCAGGCTTTAACAGGAGAGACTGGTTTCTCAAGCTGTGCTATTAGTGGTTCTCAGACTGCCCTTGAGTGTCTCCAGGTGAAACAAGGAAGATGATTCTAGGATGAGTGATTCCCTACTGTGTTTACTGGTCTTTCAAAGCATTTAGAAATACTGTCCAGATGCAGAATTTTTGATTTATTAAGGCCTTTCATGAGGGGAGAAGGAAGGAAAGCTGTTGAAGGTAATAGGAAGCTCTTAAATCTGGACAGTAGAGGGGAGGACAAGGAAGGTTAATGCATCCTATTCACAGAAGGTTTGAATGCTCGGTCGTCGTGGGAGAAGCTACCTGTACATGAAAAGTCAGTCCTATTCTATGGGACAGTAGTGATACAATTTCAAGTTTTCTGGGTGGTGCTGGTGGGTGTCTTGGTTGAATATTGGCTCTAACATTTCTGAAATAGACCCTCTACTGCTGTGGCTATTGACTGTCCTTCATATGCTGTTGCCTGTTAACTCACTCCTGCTGTGCTTGAAACTAAGCAGACTGTGCTGATTTCTCATTGCAGGGGGGGCCCACGCTGGAGCAGAGATTTGAATCCTATTACAACTACTGCAATCTCTTCAACTACATCCTCAGTGAGTTGCTGCAATTCATTTCTGGTTTGTGAATTTTGGAGAGGGAGAGTGGATGGAGAGGGCAGAGCTGGAGAAAGGGTCAAAAGAACTAGAACGTGTTTGTTTATAGATCATATAGGGAGAAGTAGTCTACGAGCTTTCCACACATTTTGAGTTTGTTGAATAAATAGCACTTTACATCCATGCATTTAAAACCACAAAAAGCACAAATAGTTTCCAGTGCTTTCTGAAATACTGTAAAGAATAAAAGTTATTTAGCTTTCTGTCTTGCTGAGAACCTCTTCACCTATCTTTATTAAAAAGCAAAATGAAGCTGTAAGCTAGAAAAAATTTGCAGTGTTTCACAACTGCTTACTGTTGCTGACTCCCCTTGGAACAAGTTTTAGTGTTTGTGACTCTCTGCTAGGCAACTTGGAGAGAATAGATCAATTAGGATAAACCCCTACAGTCTGTGCACAGCTTCTGAGCAGTTGCACTCTAGAGATTAACGCCATACATGCTCGTATTCTTTAGAAATGAAGGCAGTTGAGGTAGCTGAAGCTACGTATCACCGCCCTACTGGAAGCTTCATTCTCCTGCTGCTGCATTTCCCATTTCAGGGAAATTCTTGTGTTCTTTAATTTGTCTATTCCTCCAGTTCTGCCACTGTTCTTGCTGAAGGTATTAAGCCTCTCATCTATTACTTGGGTTCTTCTGCAGATGCTGATGGCCCTGCTCCTCTGGAACTGCCCAACCAATGGCTCTGGGATATCATTGATGAATTCATATACCAGGTATATGACTATGAGACTGGGCCATTTTGCCTCTGCTAGCACTATAAATTTTCCATCTCCTCCCTCCCTGTGATTTTCATAGTTAGGATACCATTGCAGGTCAAAAAACTTTGGTGAGCACTGTTATTCCTGGGTCACCAGGTAGATGAAGTAGTTGTAAATGTACAGATCTTTAAGTTACCCGGAGCTCTTTGGGGAGTCCTGGCTTTCTGTTGATATTTCTGTTTCAGTTGCTGCTTCGGGGTTTTTTTTAACTCGCCTTCATTTCTGCCTGATTTGTTGAAAGCAGCCTGAATGAAGTCTGCTATAATCACAAAGACCTTGTGAAGATACTTGTTCAAACTAGTTTTATTGTGTTTATGGTTTTACTTTAGTTTTGTACTTCTTAGTCAGTAGGGCCTTTATGCTTGCACTGAGAGATTGCTGACCTGATTTGAAATAATCTATGGTCTAAGGTCTTGACGTTAGGAAATATTTTTCCACTTATTGTTCTGAGTGCAGCAATACAGATCTCAAATACTGTTGTTTTTTCTCTATAGGTTCCTTTGTCTGTAACTTTTTATTATAGAGCTGCCTGGAATTCCTCAAGTACAGTCTTGTCAAGCTTTAGGATGAAAAAGGACATGTGCATATGTAGAAAAAGATGTGTGTATATGCAGACACATCTTATGACTTGGTCATTCTCTTTGCTACCTGTTCAGATGGCAAATTTGTGTTTAGTTGCCTGTCCTAATTGTCTAAGAGATCCTTCTCTGTTTTGTTTTGTTCTGTCTTCTAGCCTTTTCCCCTGCACTGTATCATTTTTTTCCTAGGTGCTTTAAAGTTGGTGTAATTTACCATTTTGATTGCCAGGTGATCTCAGATAAAACTGTTTTTCATGTGACTTGTAGCTTATTCTAATGT